GTCTATTATTTCGTTATCTTGACTGTCATGACTTACTCGCTGTGAAGTAGCTTTCATCGGGTGATGCTGCGGCTCTACTGGTGGTGCCACTAACGGCCGCGCTGGCCACGCGTCAGGGTCAATGTTTCTTGCGTCTTTCTGAGGATGCTTGTTGTTGGCACTGTTGATGCTTGTGGTGGTGAGTGCGTGATATGGAGTAGCGGTGTATCCCTGGCCTTGGCAAAGCATGTCTTAGGAGTTTTCCTATGGCGCGAACGCCGACGTCGCACTTTGGCAGCAGCCTCCCTGTGGGCGGAACCGTGTCTGGCCATCTGCCTCAGCACTTGCATCTTCTTCTTCACATTTGTGCACTGCTTTGATGGCGCCTCGTGAGGACCTTGGCAATTGGCGCATTTGCGATGTTCTGCTTGGCAGGTTTCTGTGTTGTGCGACTCCGAGCATCGGGAGCACATAACAGAACTTGTGCAAACAGCATTCACGTGCCCTATTTTACAGAACTTCCGACACTGAAGAGGTTTCGGGACGAACGGGCATACTATGTGTTGAAAATGACCAACTCTCACTTGAGTTGGGAGACTGTCACCCATGAAAACTAGTTTCACGCATCGTGAGTTCCCGAGATGGCGGGCTTGCAAGAATATAGTAGCTTCTGTCACTGGTTTGATTAGAATGGGAAAAACAATATTGCTGATAGAAGTGTCGACGTTGTAGATAACGCCTGCCTTAGAGTCCTTGCCATCTGGTATGAAAGAATGTACGTTGATGTTCCCCAGCGGATTCACTTTGGTCAATACGTCGAGAGCAGTACGTTGCGTAACGTCTATCGCCAGAACGTTCTTGCGGCCATTGATTCTCACGTCTGTTATTTGTCTCGGAACGAGCGCCTCAAGTGACATAGACGTGACCTGGCGATTAAGTCGGTTCATGCTGTCAGCGGCATTCAGCGGGACAAACAAAATAGTGTGAACCGGTGGCTCTTGAATATTTGGGGTGGCCTTACTTTGGGAAGGAGATGTCGTAAGTAGCCTCCTCTTTACTTTGCGTCTTGCCATGGGCAGAAAGTCACTTTCATCGAAGCTCTCATCACTGGCCGTAGAGTATATCAGCATGTCCTCATCGTCGACGTCACTTGGGTGGGCGGAGCGCTTTCTTAGAGAGTTGATTATAAAGTACACTAAACTTGTATGAGCATGCACAGGCATGTGGCGTCAGCTGTCCATGCGAGGTTTTACGCTATAGACCATTGTTAATGCATTCAATTTCTTGTTCACATAAGTATGTTGGTTTGAACGTCCCAAAACCACCATATCAATATGATAGACGCTGTAGTGGAGGGCTCCGGATATTTCCACCACTTGGGGTTCTTTAACACGCGCCCACATCTATGTACACGGGCCTACAACATTTCCACCTTCACCGGAAATGCAGCCGCCGCAACCAGGATTCGATCCCGTAACCTGCGGGTCATCAGCTGAGTACCTTAGCCACTAGACCACCGCGGCAGGGCTTTTTTGTTTACATAAGCCTGAGGGAAAGAGTGGTTCCAGTGCTCGGGTGCTGACCCGAAAGGTGGGTTCTCGATACCGGCCGCAGCAGTTTAAATGCAATGAACGCATACTGTCAGAGTGCAGTGGACTGTGTGATGTCCTAAAGAAGACTAGATGGTCGGAATTTTCAGAGCCTTCCGCCACGACGTCTCTCGTAATTGTAGGACGTAAAATCTCAGTCAATATTATTATTCTTTACGTAAGAGAATACATGCTGACTGACGTATATGTTTTTCCTAATTTGTATATGTCAGGCTTCAACCACTAAAAGCGCTTATTCATGCCTTCTTCTGAATAACACTGCACGGTCAATGAATTTCGGCATGAATGTACTTTCCCGACAATGTTAAGAAGGATTAGAGGCTGAGCCTCTGATAAACGACCTCTTCCATAGGCTCTGAAATGCTCAGCGTCAAATCTGACATCGTGAAAACCTATAGTGTTATCTTAGTTTTCGTGTGCTTAACCACACCGGAAAAAAATTGTGCACAGGTGTTACTGCCACTGGAGTCATCGTTTCGACAAATGGTCCTCTCTTCTTATCAAGACCCCTTTTTGACCAGCGGTATCGGCAACCGCTTGTCAAAGAGATGGCTGAAGCAGCACCACGTGTTCACAAAAAGTTTCATGTCTTCAAGCCTCCATATTTCCCTGGAGGTTTGTAAATTTCGGGTTTTCACGTGTTTAAGAAGGACGGCCGGGAGCCTTCCTGAAGCCCCGCTGCGTTTACAAATAAGTAACTTATCTTTTTTAACAACCGGCGGTATCTATATATAGCTTGACACCTACCTTGTGCCCGGCATGAAGACATCATGCAACCACTTCTGTATAGATAACCATCAAGCGTAGGGCAGCGTCGTCTGGCAAACTATTGAAACAATTAGTTGCACAACCACAAAAGTAACGGCGACTATACAAAGTGCAAGTTTTGAATTCAGGGGTTATGAGCCTACAAGGTTGTACTAGCTAGAGTGTCAAGTAAATTAATTTGCCGAATTAATAGTTCGAATAGACCGGTTAGGCGCTGTCTTAGTTTCTTCAAGCACTATGTTCAAAACTCACCACTTGAGGAGTTGCAAATACTGTTATTTTTTATTATTTTTATTAGTGCCTTAAAAAACGCGATGACTTGAGGAGAATTTTCCAGTGCACAGCCAGCATCAACGAAAACACTGCACATGTGCTCATGAGAAAAGCACGTAGTGGGGGTATAAAACTCATTGAAATGTGGCTTAGAAAGTATCTGGAAACCCGACCACCAGTATGGCTACTCGCGAAAGGCATGATAACACTCTCTGACGAGGCCATGAAGGCGTATGTATTCTCTGATCTCGTGATGTGAGCATCCGTTTCCCCACCTGTTGTGAGGAAAAAACCAATAGTGAATCATTAGCTGAACATGAAAACATAATTTAACAAGGCATACTGCTGGTAAAACGGCTGTTGATCGATGTCCGCGGGGCAGCGAATTTCGCTCACACTGATGGGAATGTGCTGTAAAGACATTTCTGTTCTGTGAACAAAATTATGCACACTCGGCGCCTTCGTGGTGAAAGATTTTTATGTGGCAAACAAACTTACGAAAACTAAAGTGGGACTGTGAGACAAGTGTACGGACGCAAAAACGCGTGATGTTGCTTTCTCCAGGTCCAATTAGGACATGTATACATACGTGATCTCCATTGTTTCCTTTTATTGTGTGTACATCTTCCCATTTCCTGATAAGTAGATGTGTACAGCCTACCTTTCATGTATGTTTGTTTCTTCTTTTTGCCCTGCGAGTTTGTGCGCTGTTACTGCCCATAATGTATCACCAACCAGGCCAACTATCAGTACTGCTTCAACATATTTCATGTTGTATAAATGAACGGATATAATTCCACACAAACATACGCGCGTGTTATTTACGTAGGTTACGTAACACAGACTGAGTGACGTCATTGCTCTACTCGCTCTAGTTAGTGTTATTAGTTCACTTCATTTCTCAAACTACGTCATGTTTCAAAGTAACTAATCCGAGGCGCAAGCAGGCAAAACTAAAAACGTACCTGGGATCCATGTGCAAACAGTGTGTCGTTCAAATGAAGAATGCAGGTTCGCAAGTTAAATATTGGGAAGTTTAATGAATTGATTACGATTTATTTTTTGTCTTCGTGACCCCGCACAGTATTACTACACTGTGAAGTCACATCTAAATGCTTTCGAAGTTTTCATGCCTTGAGAAATTTTCCTTGCAATATATGCTTCAGACGAACAAATGTCATTGTGCGGCACATTATACACCAATGAGAAAACGAAGGGCATTGGTCGTAGTAAGGGCATTGCTCGTCATGCTGGCATGTCTCAGTGCTGAGCACTCAACAGCACCATACAAAATTCGATAATGTGCTTGTAGCTGTTCAACAACTGCTGCGTACCTGCTACGAGAGTACAGCGCGTGCTCCAATGCAGTACAGCAAAAACAGTATGTCTCGTCAGATCAATCCCGTGACCCGTAAAAGATAGCGATGAGTATAAAACAAAGGATATGTCCACTGCTACCTATCTACTGGCAGGGTTCCAATCACGTTATGTTCGCAGCTTTACTGGTGCCTGATTTGATGGTTTCCGCATGCTTGTAATAAGCTGCTGGGAAGCAATGTGAGCAAGGGCACCGGAGGCGTAGACATGCTTACGCTGCGTGCTGACGTACGGCACTGCGTAATTCATCGTGAACATATAGTTCCTCGTAACCACGCTGGACTTCAGCCACGTAACGGCACTCCCCGTAATTTATGTCAGAAAGTGTGGTTACAGTTTTCACCAATTAGGCTTTTGAAATTCCGGCAGCAGATGACTCCATGACGGACACCAAAACAAGCGCGGTGAGTTAACAGCAGCAACCGCTGGAAAGAAATTAGGTGCGTCTTTATATCAAATGAAGGTAATGAATGCAGGTTTTAAACGGCTAGACTTAACACAATAAATAAATCGGAAAGATTAAAATCGGGCCAGGACCGACAGACAAAAAACACTTTAGTCATATGGTATTGTACATCACGTCCACGATCATTGTGCGGGACTAACGTGAAATGCGCATACAAAATTGAATGATCGTGACTCATCTCTTAAGAAAAACAAAACGCCACAACGAAGGCAGGTTGACTGCCACGAGACAACAGCTTAGTTGGCCTCAAACAATGCTCGTGGCAGTCTGACGAGATGCGCGAGCACTTTGCAACAGCCTGTCTTCATAGTGTGCTCGTATCCATGACTTGATAACCTTTGGCACATCACCGCGTACGCACTCGATCCAGAGCAGGTAACATGGGCAAAAGTTCCAGGTTCGTAGGTTGCTCAAAAGGGGTGGCGCCAAGGATTTTTTTTCCGGGTTGGGGGGGGGGGGGGGGACCGATGACAACGGTGTTTCTTCATGTGGAAGGAAAACACAGAACTTATGCCTTGGTTTTGACTATGATTGCTCTTGGGGGGCAGGCGAGAGTTTTGACAGCCCACCCGTGCTACCCTCCTTTTGCGCCGCCACTGTTGCTCGGACGGACGGTTGTCGCCGCTCATTCCTTCTAAGAGGGCGAACTCAGTCGATCGCGGAAACACTTCCGCACTTGAGGAATAGTATTGGTTGGAACCAAGGATCTACTTCGATAACTCTCAATCTCGGTCGTTGAAGCGATTTCTGACATACGCGTCCAGTCAAACTTAAACGTCCACGACACAGCCGGACCACTGCTGTCACTGCTCGGCCCGTGTGCATCACGCTATCTAAAGACAGTTCGTTCGCCAAAACGGTTCGTGATGCTCATGCGTGCCGCGCCGTCAGGTTGTTCATCAGGAAGCGTCGCATCACTTCGTCGACGGCCCTGGGCTGGTCGAAACCCGGGTAGTGTCCCGCTCGAGTGACCACCACGAACGAGAAGTCGCCCGCCGATGTCACGTACCCTGACAGTCCTTCCTCCTGTGGTCCCGCGTAAAAGGGCAGGCGACGGCCGTGCCGGAACTGGTCGGCCCGACTCCACTCGACGCTTCTGTAGTACTCCTCGATGCGAGCCGCCGAGAAGATCGGGTCCAGCTGACCAGCATACGCCAGGAACCTGTAGTTGTCCATGAGCGTGCTCACGATGTCCGTGACGTTCCTGAAGTAGTCCTCGCTGAGCTGTGGTTGATGAGGGGCTCGCGCAGGAACTCAGCATTGCGACCCACGTGCACTGCGTCTTTGAAGACTTCGCTGGCAACGTAGTCTCGGTAAGCCGCGAACTCGGCCGGTTCGACGCTCTGCAGCGCGTTACCGTCGTAGGAGTAGCCGGTCATCCTCTGGAACATGGTCGGGGCGCTCCCTTCGCCCGTTGAGACGAACGCGGTTTGAATAGGAGCTGCAGTGCCTGCACGGTGCGGTTTCCGGCTACCATCTGCCTGATGGTTTCCAGTCGAGTGGTGTACGCCTGCCAGCCCTGGTGGTCGAGCAAGCTCAGCTGGTGGTAGTAGTCGGACAAGTCCAGCAGGTCCGTGACGGGCCCAAGAAAACCGACGCCGCTGATGACGCCTCGCAGGTTTACTGGGAGGTCCGGGTTCGAGTGCAGTCGGATGGCTATTGCTGCTGCGGCCCTAGCTGCAAGCAAGAAGAATAATGATAATTCAAATCGCTTGCTCTCGGCCTAGGCTACAAATGTACAATTGGCAAGAAAGTGACAGAGTTAGCCACTTGTCAGCCCTACATAACGCGCATATGTCGGTATTCTGGCAGCCTCAGTTTGCTTCCGAGGAATGTCCAAACTGCATGTTTCCTACTAATGGTTGATGTGGGGTTTGACGTCCCAAAACCACGATATGATTACGAGGGACGCCGTAGTGAGGGGCTCCAGAAATTTTGACCAAGTAGGGTACTTTAACGTGCACCCAATATGAGCACACGGGCCAATAACATTTCGCCTCCATCGAAAATGCGCCGCCGCAGCCGCGATTCGATCTTGCGACCTGGGGTCAGCAGCCGAGTACTTTAGCACTATAGACAACCGCGGCGGGACAAATGTTTCTTAAGATTGTGTACAAAGTCCTTTCCAAATGGCTTTCGATGAGGTCATTTTTTTCCAAACGTGACAACAGGAACGGCTGGCCTTTCAATGTGACAGAAGTTTTTTTTAAGTAATTAAGTTATACTTTTGTCGGGCATGCCGTGAACGTATTACAAGTGGAGGGTCATATTTGCTTTCTATTTTTTGAAAAAAAAATTATTGTTGATCATTGCTCATACGTATCAGATCTAACGAAATGGTATCGGGATTACTATTTATAAATAAGATCGTTTCGGACTTGTTATGGCAGAATGAAGAACTGGGTTTTATTTTTTTATTTAGGTACAAACGCCAACAACGGTTGCGGGATGGCTATCTTTGCGGAGGTGAGATGCATATATAGATGGTTTGTTCAACGTCGCCCGAGGAACCTTGTTTCGCCGGGCTGCTGAAAACATTTCAAGGGATTTAAATTTATCTGTAGTCGCTCATTACTATGTACCACATAATCAGACGTGGATTTCCGGCACACAAATCACATTTCTATTATCAGTTTGTGTGTAAGGAATAGAAAGTGCCGTGTTTAGGCAGCAAAACAACCGATTCATATCTTGTGAAGCACCATAGTGCCTAACTGAAAACAAGCACTAAGCAGCAGCGCCGAAGCGACAAGAGTGACACCGTCTGGCCAGCACCTGGTTATATAAGCACGTCGTTACTGGATCTCGGCATAACTGCGGGCAGCCCAGGCACGTGTGCTTCGCCAGCACTGGCTAAGATTTTGGTCATCACTATTGCAGGTACGTGCATTGCACATTAACTCTAGTTAGTTTAGTGTCTGGGCTGCTCTGCAGTTTGTGCATTTTATAGAAGTGACGACAGTCAAAGAAGTTGCTAAGATGGTGGCGGAATTAAGTAGTAAGTTTGACACATTCAGCTCGAAAGTGTATGCAGATATACAAGAAATCAACAATTCAGGGTCATTTATGAACACGCAGTTTGAAGAATTCAAAGCGACACTAGAGAGAGTAAAACATGAACAAACGACACTTAACAAAGAAAACGGTTACCTAAAAGAGCAACCACAAGAAACTCGGACTGAGCTTCTTGAAATTAAGCAATACAGTCGTCAACAGAACCTTGAAATCAAAGGCCTTCCCAGGAAGCCTAATGAAAAACTAGCTGATGCAATTGTCGAAGTTGGCAAGAAACTAGATGTTCCACTGACATGCGCAGATGTAGACATAATTCACCGGGTAACGAGCAAGGACAAAGAACGGCCAAACGTGGTCGTAATGTTTGTATATACCCTCAGTGCGAGATAACGTTTTGAAAGCTGCTAAAGGCATAGGCTTGTTCTGTCAGACTTTGAACATGAAGGAAGTGAAACAGTCTATATCAATGAACATCTGTGCATTGAAAACAAGGTGCTTCTTGGTAAGGCTACTGCACGCAAAAAGGAGAAAAAATGGAAGTATACCTGGGTTGCAAACGGGAAATTCTTGCAAGGAAAGCAGATAATTCAAGCGTTCTACATATTAAAACTGAGGAAGATCTTTTGAAGATCTGCTAACGCCCACGACGATGGCTACGAATCAATTATCGAGTGATAACGGTGAAACTTCTATTTGTCTCTGATGCAATGCAACGTGCGCAGCCTGAACAGAAATATTGACGCACTATGCTCTTTTCTAGAGGTGAATTCTTTTCGATTCAATTTCATAGCTGTTTCGGAGACCTGGCTTAAATCGGGTAAAGTCCAGAATATCCCAGGTTATTCATTCACTTCTATTGCTAGAAACTCTCGCACGAGGAGGAGGCGTTGGCCTATTTACTAGAGCAACATCAAATGCGAACTCGTCCCTCAGTTTTCTTACTCTTATCTCCAGGAATTTGACTTTCTTGTTGTGAATTCCACCTCCATTTTTATTGCTGTTATCTATCGTGCTCCGAACCAAAACATGCAAACTTTCATGCAACATTTTGAGGCATTACTAGCATATTTTACCAGCATCAACTCAAAAATAATCATATGTGGTGACTTTAACATTGACTCCTTGAAAAAAGAAAACAATGAATACTTCCATCTTGTAAACTCTTATGGTTTCCATAATGTTTTTACAAGACCCACCAGGGCAACTCGTAATTCATCAACTTCAATTGACCATATACTTTGCAATTTCGACACTACAACCAGTCAGTGCAACATCTATCATACAATCATCTCAGACCATTATCCAACCGCCATTTTCTTTCCCTTATCTGAAATATTAGGAACACACCCACGATGTACCGCAACAGGATTAATCTTTGCAGTTTAAAACAACGCTTATTAGAAATTGATGACAGTATACTAGACTCTGGTGGCTCTCATCAACAATACGCCGCACTAAGTGATAAGATAAGGGAAGCGATTACACAATCCAAAATCCCGTACAAAAAAAGGTATCACCAAGAGCCAATTTGTCCTTGGATAACCAAGGATATTTTACAATTGGTAAAGAAAAAAGTATATTGGCACACAAAAGTTAAACAAAATAAGGGCAACTTGTACTATGAAGAAAAATTTCAGGTGGCCCGCAACCTGGTAACGCATTACGATAGTTATAGCGCGAGAACCAAACGACGACACAGAGACAAGAAGGACACGAAAGACACGAGCGCTCGTGTCTTTCGTGTCCTTCTTGTCTCTGTGTCGTCGTTTGGTTCTCGCGCTATAACTATCGTAATGCCTTACCAACTAGCCCAAGCTGCCACACTTCTGGTAACGCAGCTTACCCGTAATCGTAAAAAACAATATTATTCCGAGCTAATTACAAAAAACTCTGGAAATTCAAAGATAACGTGGAAAATTATAAACTCTGTTATAAAACCTATTCCTAATCAATACGTCATGGCAGATACAGATATAATGGGAATATCAGCAGAATTTTTTGTATCAACTTTTAATCAGTTCTTTTGTAACATTGGTAAAGAAATTGCGAATTCCTGCCGTGATGTGTTAGTCGATACGGTTCCGGATAGAGTTGTCAATTCCTTTGGATACATCGACATAACTCCTGCGAAAATCGTAACTCTCGTTAAAGCTATGCCATGCAAACATAGTGCGGGGTGTGATGAGATATCACCATTTATACTTAAAAACTTCATAGACATTCTATGTACTCCTCTAGCAAAAATTTTTAATCACGCATTTCACACGTCAACTTACCAGATTTGCTAAAAATCGCAAAGGTTGTTCCAACTCACAAAAATGGAGACCGCAGCCTTCCCGAAAACTACCGCCCCATATCTGTATTAAGTTCCATAAATATAGTGTTCGAAAAACTTATCTCGAAATGGCTTCTAAATTTTCTCGATTGAGAGTCTGTACTAACAAATAACCAACATGTCTTTCAGAGCAATCGATCCACTTCCACTGCAGTGCTATTTCTTTCAGATAGGGTCAATTCCTATCTAAACAACAACATGATAGTGATTGGTGTCTTCATTGACATTAGAAAAGCTTTCGACACTGTACATCATGATATACTACTCAACAAATTAGAACGGTATGGCATACGAGGGGGAAGTCTGGAATTTTTTAGAAGCTACCTTACGAACCGACAACAAACGGTTCATTTTCGTAACACTAATTCAGGATTTTCGCCCATTACATCGGGAGTACCGCAGGGATCGGTATTGGGACCTATTCTATTCTCTCTGTACATGAATGACTTCCCTTCAATATTACATAACTTCACCCCTGTCATGTACGCTGATGACACTGCTCTCATTTGTGCACACGAGTCCATCGATGGAGCCTTATGCATGGCAAACAAAGAATTGAAACAATCTAGATTGGTTTCAAGCCAATAAATTCGCTTTGAACGTTAGTAAAACAGAATATATGGTAATTCATTCCCCATACAAAGTTATTGCTCTGGATTCGTGTGTGTGCTCAGGCTGAGAGCGAAACAATAGAAAGAGTAAGTAGCTTAACATACCTTGGAATTGTGTTGGATCATCACTTCAGCTGAAAAATGCATATAGACTCTCTCTGCAAAAAACTCGCGACAGTCTGCTATACTCTTTTCAAATGTTGCCAGTACTTCGATGCGGAAACTTTAAGAACAATATATTTTGCCCTATTTCACAGCCAACTCTCATACTGTATTGA